CTATATATTTTTAATATATAAAATACTTCCAAAATAGCATGTGCATGCATATATAAGTATGTCCAAATGTTTACTATTTTTTCCTTAATTTTTAAAGATTTTTTAATCAATTTATTGCCCTATTTTATCCATAAAAACCCAATAATTATTCCCAAAATTATCATTTCTAGTGACTCATTTATGGGATTTTCATATTTATACTAAAAATGGCTAATATAATTTTTGCATATAAGGTCATTTAGTATTTTTAAAGTTAAATTGTATGTAATTACAATATTAGCCTTTTTTTAGGATTAATTACGTTTATATTCATAAAAATTAGGTCTGTTATTTTTAAATAGTTAATTTTGTGCTATTAATCATTTTAGTACCTTTAATTTATTTCCAAAAATTATTTTACTATTTTTATAAATCAAACAGGGAAAAGTGGCTATTTAAATGTTAGCCCCATTTTATTTCAATTTTAGTCCGATTTTGCACCCCAATTGAACTCAATTGAAATAATTTGAACCCCTCGACCCAATTCCAATTTAATCCGACCAAAACCCATCTTCATAACCCGCCCACTCGCCCGTTTTAATCCAGGCCGTTTATCATTCAGATCAACGGCCAACAACCATCCTTTCCTTTTTTAATCTCAAACTACCCCCTAACCCTAACCATTTTCACATACCCCGCTGCCTCTGAATCCCTTTCTCTCTCAATCCTCTCTCAAACCCTCTCCAACCCTAGCCGCCGACATCAACTACAACCCTAAAAAAACTCTTAAATCCATGGCTTCCAAGGTCATTGGAGGCCTGTATCCACCTCACATGGCTTCTACGTGTTCGATTATTATGGTTTCAAGGCTAGATCCTGAAAGAGCTTGGTCCAGACCTTGGTCGATTTCAGTTTACGGCTGTTCTCCGATCGTCTCTGACCTTTCTCCGACCAGTCATGGCTATTCGAGTCTGACTCTTGACTCTCCTGCTTAGATCGATGGTTTTCAAAGCCTTTCTCACCACTTGGGGTTCCTCTGAAACCCTAACCTTCAAGGTTCTCTCGATTTCTCTTAGATTTGTTTCAGACCTATGTCTGCTCTGAACTTTTAAGCATTTTTCTCGAAGTTTCTTTTAAAACTCCGCTTTCGAAAATCCTTATCCTTCTGATTAAGGTCCTGTTAAGTTATTTCGAAACCTTTCTTTGATTCTTGATATGTTTTGCTGTATTATCCTTCTGCCTGAGATTGCATGTTAAAACCCCAAATTTCTTTTAACTGTTTATTAAATGAATGTTTGTTTGCCTGAGTTTAAATCTGATCTGTCTATTTATCCTCTTTTTAAAACCCGTCTATTGTGGAAAATCTTATGGTTTTGGGTCTGAGACTGTTCGTTTAAGTGCAGAAGTTCTTTTCGAAATCTCTTGTTCCCTTTGTGCGATTCTTCTGATTCTGGGTTTCTATCTTCTCTTTAACTCGCCTATGTTGAAAGCCCTAATTTTTCTAGGTTTCTTCGTTTGATTTTGTGACTGGCCTGTTCTTGTTTGAGTTTCTGTGACTATCTCGCTGCGAATGTGTTTCTACTGAGTTCCTTATGCCTAACTTACATTAGCTCTATGTGCTTGTGTTCGTCTTGACTGGTCAAGACTTGCCTCTTTGCTTGCTATGTTTGGTTACTCATATCTCACTCTATTTGTATGCTAAAACATGACTCATGACTCTCTCTTTGATTGTCTCTGAGCTCCTTATTTCTTGGCTTGATTTGAAATCTTCTCTTTAGAGTTTCGATTCTCCTATTTTAACTTGGTTTATTTGCTTATTCGTGGGAACCCATGTTACTCTCCTTAAATCAGTAATTTCAAATCCTTGATTCCCTGATTTACCATGTGTTGATTTTCGATTGTCTCCATATTCTGCAACTTATTGTGTTTCCTTACCTTATTCGGTTAACCAAGTATTTTACTGATTCTTCATTAGTTGTTTCCTTAATTGAACCCCTATGTACTTACCCCTAATTGTCTATTCTGTACATGATGCTCTACTTGATTTCTTTCCTTAAACATTTTCTGCCCATTACCGTTGGTTGATTGCCCCTTAATTAAAGGAGTACTTGCATTGATTTGATTCTGATTAGTATTCGGTTCCATAATTGCTATACAATTCTAATTCTTGCCTTATTTTACATGGTTTCGAACTACTATATATACACACTCTCTCATTAACACAAACACACAAACACTTTTAATTCTGAACTCACACTTACACTCAAAACACTCTCTCTTGCTTTACTACTTGTACTGTGGCCTATTTAGCTAGCTGAAAGCCAAAGCTATATATCAAAGTCCTGCTACCTTTCTTTACTATATTTTGCTTCTTTGAACTGGTATGTTCTAATTAAGTTTTCAGCATCAACAACAACATGGTTGCTTAATGTTCTTGTATTCTTGTCTGCCTACTGCCTATATCTATTTCAGTATCTTTATTTAGCATGATGTAATTTCTTTTCTCCTGTTCTGAATCAATGCATTATGAATCCTAAATCCCTACCCCAATGTGTTTGATACTTATGGTTTGTTTGGGGCATGACAACATCGAATATTGCTGAACATGACTCAAACTTGGTCCTCCTAGGATCATAACCTCCATGTTACCCTTATATGTTGCATGTTCTGGTTGATTTACAAGCATGACAACACCCCTATTGATGCGCATGCCCAGAATTGACTCATTCCTAAGTATATAGGCCCTTGCAATGGATTCCCAATCCCCTGCCCCCTTTGGTGTGAAATTATCAACTCTTTAAAGTATTAATGGCTGTCTCCCATCCCCCTTTCCCTTTTCTTCGTTCCCTCATGCTTTTAAAACTATGTTTCTGCACTTCCACTCTCTCTTAGACTTAAGTCCTGCCCCCCTCATGTGAGCCTTGCCTTGGGACCCATGAGCTCCTTCTGAACTTGGACATATGAGGGCTGGCATTTCCACACTACACTTGTCCTTACTCTGGTGATGTAATTTAGGTGTGAGCAATGCCCGGGGTCCTATTGAGGCTCTTAGGGAACTCTGACACACTCAAGTTTGAGAAAGGCTTTGAAGCAATGGCATCTTAAGGCAGTTATTCCATAGCTCAGGAAGGAACCAAGAATCGGGCCTCCTCTAGTTGTATTTTTATGTATTTTGATGTAATTTAATATTCCTGGTTTGTAATAATCTGTAATAAACGTTTGGGTCTGGCTAGTGAAACGGGTTGGGTATTTATGCATTTCAAGGGTAGAAACCATGCCTATAGGACTATTTTGAATTTCTGCATATTCAAACTACATTTAGAAACCATGCCTATAGGGTATTTTAATGTTGCAAACTGCATTTAGAAACCATGTCTGTAGGACTTCTTGTTCATCTTTATATCTAGATAACTTGCCTATAGGGATCATCTAAAATTCTGCACATTTGTCACCGTTTAGATATCATGTTTTAGGGCCCAATTGATTATAACCCAGTAGCATGCTGAAATTAGCAACATATAGAAATCATGCCTATAGGGGTCCATAAGTATAATCCTGTTTGTTTCTACTCACATGCAATGTTAGGATCTAAAATCAGTAACGCATAGAAATCATGCCTATAGGGACTCTTAAATAAATCTGATTCGCTTCATTCACAGTCAATGTTAGATATCATGCTCCCAGGGATTAAAATCGGTAATTGTAGATATTATCACCTGCAGAATCTGTAACCAGTCTAATTTAATTTTGTCCATTCTGAACCTCTTTTCAATAATCTAATTTCCTTGCTTAACAAGGTTTAGCAGGCTTGCCTATGGGATTTCAAACAATTCGTTTTGAGTTCTACTGTCTCATCACCTTCTGAACTAAGTAGATATCATGCCTATAGGACCCCGTCTAAACACTTAGGCAAACCTTAGGCAGTGTAAATAAAACTGAACTCGCCTCTGTTATTTGTTACAATCAGCAGGTAGGCCCGATTCTGTTTCCTAACTGAGTCGTGTAATAAGCCAGGCCTGCTGCAACACTACAATCTCCTCTTCCCTCAAGTATATTTTTTAGAATCGGACCTTATTCATTTGTTTAAGTCGTGCTATTGCATTGTTTTTGTTTGGAGGAGGTATACTTGAGCCTTATGTGTTTATGTGTTTCCCCTTTAATGTGCAGTCTTTATATATTTTCTATGTCGCCTTAGAATGTTTACCTTTGAAACTTCAAATAAGCCTAATATCCCTCCCTTTTAGGATTAGTAGACCTAAGCGCCTCCGGGACTGATAGGAATGGGATGGGTAACCAGGGGCGAAGGTACATGGTAGCAAGGGTGGTCAACTGACCACCCTTCGTCGAAAAATAATACTGTGTATATAGGTAAAATATTAGGATTTATATATATGTAATACATATTGACCACCCTTGTAACAATGAAGAGCCATAGCCCAGTGGCTAAGGGTGGTCAAAAACGCCTCAGGGGCGCAGGATCGAACCCGCAGCTCCACATATTTTCATTTCTGTTGCAATACAATTCTTTTTAAAGACAGCAAAACAAACGACGTCGTTTTCTTTCTTTGACTTACTTTATAGTACAAAATCGGGAATAAACAAATCTGCATAAAACAAAAATTGGGAATAAACCAATCAAATCCCTAAAATCAAAACCCATCTCCAATTCCTCATTCTTCATGGTCTGGACTGAAAGTTCTCACTGCTTTGTATTGCTCTCCGCCGACTGTCCAGTGTCCAAGTCCAACTCCATTCTGCCATTGAAGTATTGAACTGGTTCGACTTTCGCTTCGAATCTCATCTTTTTTTTTCCTTGTTTGCTTCAAAGTTTCAGTAAATTTCTCTGATTTTTTGTATGATAAATATTTTGGGACAGTACACTTGGAGTAATTAGTTAGCATTTATGTATATTGCTTGTTGTAAGTTCAAACACAAATTGTTGATATGTTCCTTTTGTTTATTTAAATATTGAGGAGTAATATGTTTTAACTACTTTATACATTCAGCATATTGAAGTTGCAATGAATTTGTTAAAATTTTACAACAAAGTACCAAAAATAAGTTCGGCGTCTCAAAATGCCGATCAATCAGAGTTTCCCTTGCATTCTTCTCATAGACAAGAAATTGATACAATTGCTCCACAATCTGACCCAGCTGAAAGAACTCCAATATTGGAGTATCATCCAAACCATCGCGATGAAATAAGGAGGGCATACATTCAAGGTGGTGCTTGCCAACCTCGGTATCATGACTTCCCTCAATCTCACTTTTTTGGATTTATGCGTCGTTTTAATCCTCTATGGTTTGATGAATTTAATTGGTTGGAGTATAGTGTAAGTACCGATGTTGCATATTGTTTACCTTGTTATTTATTTAAGGGAGAAAGTAATCAGCAAGGTGGTGGTGATGTTTTTTCGAGTAAAGGGTTTAGGAATTGGAACAGAAAAGAATGTTTTAAGAAACATGTTGGTTTGCCAAATAGTATTTACAATAAAGCAAGTAGAAACTGTGATGATCTAATGCAACAAAAACAGTCTATTATTGCTGCATTTGACAAACAGTCTGATCAAACTAAGCGTGAGTATTGGCTTCTCTTAAATGCTTCAGTTGATGTGGTAAGGATTCTTTTGACTTAAGGATTTGCTTTTCGCGGTCATGACGAATGTGAAACGTCATTGAACAAGGGTAATTTTATTGAAATTCTTTCATGGTATGCGGCTAAATGTGACAAGATTGAACCTTTTGTGTTGAAACATGCTCCAAAAAACAATAAGATGACTTCTTCAGATATTCAAAAAGAAATTGTGACCGCATATAAGATAGAAACTATTAAGGCTATAATAGAGGATCTAAATGGTGACTACTTTGCTTTATTAGTTGATGAGTCTTTAGATGTGTCACGCAAAGAGCAAATGGCTATTGTTTTACGGTATGTCGATAAAAGAGGAAGTGTGATGGAGAGGTTTATTGGCATGGTTCATGTTCGAGATACTAGTGCTTTATCTCTAAAGAAAGCAATTGTCGATGTTCTTGTTCATCATTCATTAAGTTTATCTTCTATACGTGGACAATGTTATGATGGGGCAAGCAATATGCAAGGTGATATTAAAGGTCTTAAGAAGTTGATTAAATAAGAAAGTAGATCGGCTCATTCTATTCATTGTTTTGCACATCAACTTCAATTGACTCTAGTTGCGGTTTCTAAGAAGTGTGTTCAAGTAGGTGAACATGTATTATTGGTTTCAAATATTTTGAATGTGTTGGGAGCTTCTTTTAAACGTGTGGATGAATTTAGAGATTCTCAAAAAGAAAAACTCCAAGAGGCATTAGATATGGGTGAACTCAAAACAAGTAGAGGCTTGAATCAAGAACTCGGTCTTGTTAGAGCTGGTGATACTCGTTGGGGATCTCACTACAAGTCATTTGGAAACTTTATTCGTATGTTTGGCTCTATTGTTGATGTTCTTGATACACTTGTTGAAGATGCAGGTACTTTAGATGATAGAGCTAAGGCATCGGGGTATCTCGAAGCTTGTCAAACATATAAGGTTGCTTTCTTGTTGCATTTAATGACAGATATTTTGGGGATCACAAATGAGTTGAATATATCCTTATAAAAAAAAGAGCAAGATATTGCAAATGCCATGCTACTTGTTCAAGTAGCGAAGAAAAGATTGCAAACTTTAAGGAGGGATGATGAATGGGATTTGTTTGTTGATAAAGTTTCTATGTTTTGTATCAAGCATGATATTTTGGTGCCTAATTTTGATGATCTATATGTTAACTCTGGAATATCACGGCGAAAACCTGCTGATTATACTTTCTTTCATCATTATCGTGTTGATGTGTTTTGTAAAGTTCTTGATTGGCAAGTTCAAGAACTTAATGATCGTTTTGACGAAGTGACGACTGAGTTGCTTCATGGAGTTGCTTGCTTGAATCCAATTGACGCATTTTCAAGTTTTGATATCAGAAAAATAATGAAGATGGCTGAATTGTATCCTAATGACTTTGATGAATTTAGGATGAGTTCTCTTGAGAATCGGCTTGCGAGTTACATTATTGATGTTCGTGATTTTGATGAAAGGTTCTCCAATCTAAATGGGCTTTCTGATCTTTCAAAAAGATTAGTTAAGACAAAGAAGCATTCAGTTTATCCTCTTGTATTTCTCTTAGTGAAACTTGCGTTGCTTCTTCCTGTTGCCACTGCAACCGTTGAAAGAGCTTTCTCAGCAACGAAGTTTATCAAGAATGACTTGCGGAATCGTATGGATGATGACTTTTTAGGCGGTTGCATAGTGCCTTATGTAGAAAGAGAAGTATTTAGTATTGTTTCTAATGAGTCTATTATAAAAATATTTCAAGAGATGAAGCCTCGTCGAGTACGTTTGTAATAAGTAGAATCTCTTTTTGACGCTTCTTTATATTAGTTTCGTTACATCGAATTGTTCGTACTATTACCCGTATTCTTATAATTTAGCTCGATATCACGTTGTTTGAGTTAAATTTTTCGGTCCACCTACTTGTTGAGAATTTTTTTTTCGTGTTCAAGTTTGAACACCCTTAAATAGTTTTCTGGCTTCGCCACTGCGGGTAACAGCATGCAATAAGTAATCGAGACCAATCAGCGCTTTAATACCTTAACGGGGTGGGAAGGGTAGATATGGATATGATGACCGCGCGATAATATCACGTGTAGCCCCTCATTGAGGAGTGATTACCGGACATTGTGTGGGGTGATCCATATTAAATACAAACCTAGGATCCCTTTCTTTTCATTTGCAAACTCTTTTTTTTTAAACTCTTCTTTAAAAAAATGTTCTTTCTTATATGTGTTTAAATCCCCTAATATATGAGCCCATACCTGTCTATTTGCTAAATTCATAATAACTGTCTGGACGGGAACCACACTAGTGGATCCTGAGGGGTGCCTAACACCTTCCCCTTAGGATAATTTCAAGCCCTTACCCAATCTCTGGTTATTCAAACGAACTCAGAGCTGAATCTCTATTGGTGTCCTAATGCACCTTAATCATTAGGTGGCGACTCTTCAAATGCAAACCCAGTTCCCAAAAGGAATGAGTTGTCCCTCCAAATGTCATAAACCCGATTTCGCGAGAAAAAGGGGGCGTGACAAGCCTCGACGGAACCTCACTCGACTCATCCTCTCCACACACTCCATCACTTCATTCACTTTTTGAACTACACACGACCTGATTCCCTTATAATCCGGGATATGTAAGTTGTCCAAAACCAGAACTCGGTTGCACCTTTTTCTTTTGTTTTCTTCCTCTTCTGAATAACGATTTGGTCAAAAATTAGTCACACGGCTCACTTTGCCTTTGCCTGAAAACTCTTCATGTTTCCAAGCAAAGAGGGGCAGCTGTGAGCACCTAATTTTTTACCATATTTGGTTTTTCCACTCACCTTTTAGTATTTAAATAGATTTCAAGATTAATTTTAAAATATTAGTTTTATTTCACCTTTTTATAGGTTTGTATTAGATAAATTGAAAATAACAAAAAATGGTCACAATTTTACATATTAATTGTGTTCATGTTCTCAAAAGAAAGAAAAAGTTCCAAAATATATTTTTAATGGGTCTAATCTATCCTTTTCAAGTTAAGGATTTTAATAAATGAATTTTGAGTAGTTAGCATTTTTTTAATCTTTCTATATTAATCAAGTGGGAGTAGTATTTTATTTAATTGACTAAAAAAATCAAAAATATCAACAAAAAAAAAGGAGAGCCAATCACATTTGGCCACGTAGCAAAGATTCTCCATTATCCACTCCTAACAAACTCACAATTCAATTCACAGCACACTCACGTCATTCTCATCGGCGCATAGGATTCCCACAAAAGGATATTTTTTCCTTATCCGTTAATTCACAAAAGAACGAGCTGATTTTCGAATATTTTCTTGCTCAATAATCTACACAGAAAAGGACAGGATATAAATATACACACTCAGCTCACAAAGAAAGGGGAGAGAGGCGAGCAGAGAGGGAAAAAACAGAGAGACGAGGAGAGAGCAGAAAATATAAAGCAACCGCTGCATTCTCTTGTCACACAGACATCTGTTCATTCAAAAACAGCCTTAGACTTCCTTATAAACACCATCATTTACACTAAAGTGGCTACCAAGTAAAGCTCCAAACTGCAGAAATTTTCAGATCTAAAACACCCAAATACATCAGCCAAAACGCAACTGAGACAGGACCAAAATCCAGCTGCGTTGCACCATAAAACCCCACTATTTTCTCCCTCAAAATCAGCCATGTGAGGCAGTAAAAAATAACTCTTCCTTCCTCCATAAATAGCATGGAATCCCAGATAAAAAATTGAAACACAACTCCAAAATAGCTGCGTTGCTGCTGTCCAAAAAGAGCCATTAAATCCCATCTAAAACGCCTTAAACCAGTCCCCATTTTCTGAATCGAGTTCGTCGCGTAGTTATGTTTCGAGCCTGAGGTTTCTGTTGGAGCTCCGAGAAAATTCCCTCTTGGTTGAGTTCGTTTGTTTCTCATCTTAGTCGTTGCCCCGTTTGCTCTGTCGAGTTGCAAATTTAATTTTGGATTCATCTTCAAGGTCCGTTCTTTTCTCTACGTACTATTTCTTTTTTTGGAACTTTTCTTCCATGAACGTGATTATAAATATGATGCCATGGTTTTCTTGCGTAGCAATGAATGATTTATTCTTCATTTCTATTTTCAAATATTGAATTATGCTTTAAATGTTCATATGTGAATTCTTCCTGGTTGTCATATTTTGGATAATATCTAGTGAGGTAATTTTGGATAATTTAATTGGGGGAAAACCAGTAGTTCATTGTAATTAGGATTTTGAGTTAACTCTAATTTAGATAACTAATGGGCTGTGGAATTTGCTTTAATGATAATGGGCCAGTTGAAGTCTAATATTGGGACATTAATTAAAATAGAGAAGATTCGGACCTGTCATGATTTAAGTCAAAATGGGCCACAATTTCATTTAGTCAAAAGAATGAGTTTTGGGTTTCAATTGTTGGATGTAGAGTATTGGTACATGTTGGCCTGTTCATTCCATTAACTAATTTACTTTTTCTTCCACAACTCATGGACCTTACAATAATTTCAAATCTTAGGAAAAATAATCAACTTATGAATATTCGTAAGATGCTTTTAGGTGCGTTTTAACCTATTATCGAGATTGTGTACATGCATGCGTGGCATAGTTGTGATGCCCAAGATAAACCAAGGTATACGTTCGCGTTACCATGGTCAAACATTTATTAAATAAAGCGCCTTAATCGAATACCCGTAGGAATGCTTTAGGCGTGGTTTTTAAATTGCTATCATGATTACGGTTCTTCCAAATAAATTCAAAGTATGTGTTCGCGCAACTTTGACCAAACTTTTTCCTTTAATAAACTAAGTGTTAGGAATTGAGTATACGTACGCGTAACTCATCATGAGTTAATTCTTTAAAATACGGATTATCAAGTGATTAATAGCGGCAAGAGGTAAAATAAACATAGGTCCTAAAATGAGTAATTAGACAAAATGATCCAAGTATAAATTGTTAAGCGACCGTGCTAAAACCACGGAACCCGGGAATGCCTAACACCTTCTCCCGGGTTAACAGAATTCCTTACCTAGTTTTCCTGGTTTCGCAGACTTTTAAATAAAGTCAAATTTTCCTCGATTTGGGATTTAAAAATAAACCGGTGACTTGGGACACCATAAATTATCCCAAGTGGCGATTATGAAATTAAATAAATATTCCCATATCGAATAATATCACTTTAATTGGAAAACCTGCCTTATATCCCCTTACGGATAAAAAGGAGGTGTGACAGGGGTTGTTCAGCATAGTGTTTTTTTTTTGTTCGTGGGAGAGAGTTTCCCAACATAAATAACTAGACAATGAAATATTGAGAGAAAATCAAGCAAATTTTACTTAACCCCTTAGTTTTTTGTGTTTCAAAATAATCTTTATTGAATGTGACAATTAACTCTCTTGAATTTTGATCTTAAATCAACGGCAAAAAATTAGTTGGATCATTTCGTATATATCTAAAATGCCAAATTTGACCTTCAATTATAATAAACTATTATATATTTCTTTATATGCGGTAAAATCGGAGGGTCTGATTTTTGGCAATTGTAATGCCACGTAAGCAAAGCTCTCCGAAGTCTCGGGACTACGGTCGAGATTCACCCCGAAGGGCCATCGATTCCCAACCTCGAGACAGTGCAAGTCGACAGCCATGATAAAAAAGTGGGAAGTTACCTAGGCGCACGACTAAGGCTGACAAAGCCTAGAGGTCTAGCCCTGACCCGTATCAGGGCATTAGGTAGCTATACCTGCCCCATATCTTTGTAATTAATGTATTTTATACTATGTCCCCCCCCCCCCCCCCACATATATAAAGGTGATCCTTGTCATTTTGTAGTTATTTGTTGCTCTATACAAAAATAAAGAAGAACATTCTCTCTGCTCTCTAACATATTCTCTTGAGTCCATTACTTCATTTATTGCTTACATCCATTGTGTTCTACTTATTGTTCGTCATTTATTGCTTATTATTGGCAATAAAGAGTCGTCATTGATTTTATTCTAACTGTTATTCGCTCATCGATTACCCCCGATAGTTTCCAGCCGAGCCTCAAACTCGACCTCAAAGCCCTGAATAAGTAATCTCGAGGCCCCGATTGACAGTGATTCGATTTGGTTAATATCTCGTTTTTCAGCTCTTATCTCGCTTCTAAATCTTTCACATAGCATCAACTGCTTAACAACCGGCATAAAAATAGATCACATATTTTTAAAATCCTATAATCAAATTTAATTGTTATTACCATTTTGACAGTAAATAGTTTGGCGGCCACCATTGGGGCTAAAAATAATAGTGATTATTTTCTTGCTGGTTTAACCACGTAACGCAAGTTATCTTTCACACTTTTTCTTTCTAATATCTTTGATTTCAGGTCAAAATGTCTAACTCAGTAAACGCACGTGAAAACATCAACCTCGAAGACCATGGAGAAAATGGTGTTGACGTCCCAGGTATTAGTGTACCACCACGAAACCCTAAGGACGCACCGGAACCAATTCCCGTGGATGCGGTTTCACGCGACGCTCAACACGTCGAAATAAGCTCCCACACCAACAGGAGCATACGCCAAGGCGACCAACAAGAAACCTAGAAAACTCTAGCTCGGGAAGAACGGGAGGTTAGCCTTCATGTTAATTTAGAAATGTTGCAGGCGCAACAACTGGCTATTGCCCAGCTGCAAAGTCACCAGAAAACTCCTAGCACGATAGCACCGGGGACGGCTCCCCCAGCCGAGCAGGTGCCGGAGAGATCAAGCAACAACTGGTCGGCAGCCGACCCCGACATCGTAAAGA